ATAAAAACGTTTGAATATCTAATCATAAAGAATAATCAAAATTACTGGTAAAGAAATTTTTCCTCCATAAGTAATGTCAAATTGCATAATGAAATCAGTCCAGATATAAAAAGTTTATCTTTGTATTATCATGTCTTGTTATATAATGTAAGTCCAATTATAAAAAGTTTCTTTATGTAAAAAAATCCGCCAGTTCACATTGTTATTAAAAAATTGGAGCAATAATGCAGACAACTCTATGAGAGACTCTGACGATATCCAGCAGTATAATGATCCTAGGTTTACATATTCCGACGTTATTTTGTAATTTCAAATTTGTTTCCTAACATTGAAAATGACTCGATCGGAGTCGAAATGTTTGTGTGTAATGTAATATTATTAAATTGTTTTATGTATTTACATCTGGTTCGTTGCCCCACTTTGTATGTTTTGATTTATTCGAATCGAACCATTGTATTTCTTTTATTTTTATTATTAAAATACAGTTATAATATCGTGTAATTTCTTATTTTCGATAAATCTTTTTCTTTAAAATCAAAAACGTTCATTTTATAAATTGATAACGATTCCTTGTCCTGCTAATAGACTATCTTTAGATCGTTCGGTTTTCGTTACAGTGTTAAACATCGTTTCTTCTGTTTAATATAAATTCTACTTATGCCAGCGGATTTACTGGATTTCATCTTGAGAAGATTTAAACTTTATATACTTGAGAGCTTCGACATTCTTTATAACTGCTTCTATCATTGGTTTTGGCATTAGTAGAGTCAGCACAGTCTCACTGGTGTTCCTTACTGCAGTAAATCTTTTGCAAAGATTATATACAAAAGTATTTTACGAATATATATATTATATTTACATTTCGCTCATTTGTATATCGTTTGTGATATATAAAATTCAAAAAGCACTAATTAAGTGAATGGTACAAAAATTAATAATGAAATAATTTTAATTTAATTTGTAAATATGTCACACACATATATATATATATATATATATATATATAAAACTGTTAAACCTTTAAACGTATAAAATTGATATTAATAAACCAATAAAAAAAAATTGAAAAGTACAAGAAAAACGTTAAATAAAGATAATTAGGATTATTTAAATCCTAATTTTTTTATATTAAAGAATTTGAAGGAAGCGTTTTAGAAAATTCTATACATATAAGAAAGATTTATATACAATAAATTAAATTGTAGAAAAATTTAATCGACCAAAGTCAAATAAATGTAGAATAAATGTATAAATGTTTTTATTTTATATATTATATAATAAATAAAATTAGAATTGAGACATAGATATAATATACGTATTTTATATTACACTATTTAGACAAACATTAAAGCGTAATAATTATTTTGTAATTTTGGCAGTAAAAATAACTGAACGCAAATCATTTAGGCAATCTATTTTCACTGTATTGTATTATATTACATTAACTGTATTTTAACACTATCTAATTTAACTGTACAAAAGGTGGCTAAATCAATATGAAAGATCAATAAAGAGTAATCGTCGGACGCCCACGGTTGGACCATTTGCCTAATCGCTAGCAAAAGCCGTCAATGATGAACCCAGCCAAACATACTGCATCAAACGAGGCCTTTGTGTTAACCATCAAAAGCGAACTTTGTTTGCTGACGGCCATCGTTATGTCGCTTCTTCGCCAGTAGTTCTCAATTTTCTAGCATACATGAAACATTGTCCACCGTTTATTATTCATGAAATCAAATATGGCTTAATAAAAAGATAATAGTTTACCATAACGTTAATTGTTTTGCAGAAAACTGACATTCATATAGGCATAGTTAAATGTAGCATAACGTTAATTCAAAATAAATCTTTTGTAAAAACATTGAGAATTATTGATTTAACATATTGAGAGAGAATGATTGAAGATATTTGATCTATATAGTAGTGATAATAACTCGTTCATGTCGATAGGAGAAAATAGAAGTGGACACAAACATAATATTAACCCAGGAGTGCATATCCCTTTGTTTACGTAAATGGTCACCTGGGATGTTTGTACACTCAGAGGGTTTTATTAGGTTACTACTACGAAATAAATACGTGGTACACACTGAGGTTATGTCCCGTTTTTGATCGAAAGGTAAGTATAGATCCTCAACGAGTAAATTACTGTAACGTGTGCATCGTTTCTCTGACGTTGGCGTGTAAAAAAACTTCCTACACTGCATAATGTCCTCTTTAAATTCCGCGAAACTATAACGGAAAAAAGTGATTTTTCCACTTTAAATATATATGAAATTAAAGCGGAATCACATATGTAGGACAATGTCCTGTATCTGCTATAGATAATAGCATCCTTTTTAAATAGAACGGAAAAGAGGGAAACTTACGGATTCTATTCTATTCTTCGTATTTGTGTGGCCCTCGCCACTGAAGATGGCGGCGACTCCGGCCAGAAGCGAAACTGGAGCAGATATCTGGAACAAGCCAGGCAGAGAGCCGCCTGGTGAGAGAAGGGGGGATTACTCTCCCCCCCGTCCCCCTAAGAGCGGAGCACGTATCATAGAAATCACACCTTAAGATTAAGGGACTTTAAATAGGCGACAATTAAGCGGCAGAGAGTGGGGGGAGGGTTCTTGAGTATATGGTGCATATCGATAGGAGATAGTGGAAAGTGTTTTTTAATATAAGAACGCAATTTAGCTGATTTACCAATACATAATCTACAATAGAAAATTATGTGATTAATGTCTTGTCTGGGGTCTCCACAGAAACAAGATGGAGAATCGACAATGCCCTTTCGATGGAGACTGTAAGCAAGGTTATAATGGTTCGAGCGTATTCTGGAGATAGTAACAATCTCCTCCCTGTTAAGAGATTTATCATAAAACCAAGGCTTGGATGAGTTATTTCTGTAGTAGTCATCATAAAGTTGCCCTTTATAAGAGGCGGAGTGATCGAGATAGGCTTGGAATTTTCTCTTATGCTAGTCACGGGATAAGGTTAGCAGGTCGTGATAGGGAATTTTGAACTTAGGGCGTCGGCCATGGAGGGCAGCTTCCCTGGCAAGTTCATCAGCTCTCTCGTTCCCATAAATGCCCTTGCGTCCTGGTACCCATACCAGGTTGATGGTAAATCCATTACTGACCATTTTCCGAAGCAGGTCCCTTATTTCGAAGACGAGGTAGTTGACGTCTTTGCGTTGATGTGAGGAGATGGCGCGCAATACGCTGAGTGAGTCGGAGAAGATGGTAGCGGTGTCACAGCAGCGATTCTCCACTAGGAGAATGGCCTGAATAATAGCCCAAGCCTCCGCCGAGAAGACGGAGGCTTCTGGGGGAAGTTTATCCTTGATGATCCAGTTAAGGTCTTTGGAGTACACACCAGCGCCCACTGAGCCTCCATCCTCAGATTTGGAGCCGTCCGTAAAAACTAAAGGTCAGGTTTAGCAGAGTATGTTGTGGATAATTCCCGGAAGCGGGTTCTGAAGATAAGGCTGTTGGAGTCTCTAGGCACCGATGCCATGGATTCATCAATGGGGTGGACATAGGAGTAAGAATCCAAACAAAAGTTGTAAGCCAAAGGTTTATTGGATCTTCTTATGATGTTCAACGCGTATTTTTGAGCGACGTATCTTTTTAAAATAGGGATAGAATTGAGCGCTTGCGATCTTCTGATTGGGGAGTAAGATACATTTTCAACATATTTGAAGCTTTGCAGAGTGGTGGAGTTCCCCTTGCTCATGGATCGAAAGATAAATCTAGAAGACATGAGATCAAATCTCAGGCTTAGGGGAGTTTCCTTAGCTTCCGCCATTAAGACATTAATGGGGGTAGATTTCCTATAACCCAGAGCTAATCGCATGTTCCGGTTAACCAGGCGTTCCAACTGTTGGAATTCGCATTGATTGCCTTTGAGCTTAAAGATTTGACAACCATATTCGATGGCGGATCTGAAAACAGCTCTATAAAGGCATAACATCAGTCTGGGGTGGGACCCCCATCTAGTGCCAGCGAGGACCGAGAGTATATTGGTAAGATTGCGGCCTTTTTTGATAAGATGCTTGAGGTGTTCCTTACCTTTGAGTTTTGAGTCCAGAATGATTCCCAGGAAGGAAAATAAAGTGACGCGAGGTATGTCTTGGCCCCCTATACTTAGCGCCAGATCAGGGCGAGCGTTGCGTCTTCTCGAAAATAGAAGCCATTTGGATTTAGTAGGAGACAGATCCAGTCCTCTAGAGCGAAGATACTCGAATATGTTGTTCAGAGAGGTTTGAATTGAGTGGCGTGCCTCCTCTTCGTTAAGGCTTATACTAAAAATGACAATGTCATCAGCATACTGCAGTAGGATAGAATCCTCATGCAGATAGCTGTTAATATCAGCGCAGTACAGATTGAAAAGCAGAGGGCTAAGAGCAGATCCCTGAGCAGTACCCTTCAGGGAAGTGAAGGGGCCCTGAAGTTCCCCTTCGCAGACAAAAAAGATGCTTCTTTCAAAAGTAAGATTTGAAATGAATTTTCTCGTTTTTGCAGGGATGCCCAGCCTCCGCAATCCCTCAACTAGAATTGAGGGGATGACATTGTCAAAAGCCCCTTCAATGTCGAGAAAAGCACAGAGGGTGACTGCTTTGTCCAGGAACCCACCCTGTATGTAGTTGGTAAGTGAGACCAAGCTGTCTATGCAGGAGCTCATGGGGCGAAACCCAAGTTGGTTAGTGGGGAGAAGGGCTCTAGACTCCACTAGCCATTTCATTCTCCAATAAATAATCTTTTCCAGTATCTTGTATAAGCAAGAAAGGAGCGAAATCGGTCTGACTCCTTTACTTCCCGACTTGGGAATAAGAACAACCAGGGCGCGCGTCCAGTCCTCCGGAAAAATTCCAGATTCAAAAAGGCCATTGTAGATAGCGAGGAGTTCTTTCAAGTAAGCTTGAGGAAGGTTTTGAATGACCACATAGTCAATCTGGTCTAAGCCAGGGGCTGAAGTACGCTTCGTGGATTGAATGGCATGTTGAAGTTCTTTCATAGTGATAGGCCTGTCAAGATCAGAAGCAACCTCCTGAGGGTGTCTTGAGTCCTCTGCAAGCATCTCGTTGATTGGGGGAGCGTTCGAAGTACTGCAGGTAGGAGGCATAGTTTGTTGATTGCCATCGATTGGGCCTTCTGTAGTTCCTCGGTGGATTGTAATGGAGGAGCGAGGCGTCTATTCTTAAAGGCTTTGACCAGCTTCCAGAGGTGAGTAGATGGCGTGTTGCCGGTGAAGCTCTTGCAAAAGTCCCTCCATTTGTGCTTTTTAGTTTTTCTCAAGATTCTTCTGCATTCAGTTACCTCTTTTTTATAAGCTATCCAGTTCTCAGAGCTGGAGGTTTTAAAATATTTTATGTTAGCTGCTCTGCGTTTTTCGACGGCGTCTTGGCATTCTTGCGTCCACCAGGGAGGAGCGACAAGGTTCTTTTCTTTAGCCGATTTGAATGCCGGGGTTCTAGAGCCTGGTGAGAATAGAGAATATAAAGTCTCAGTGATAATGGCAACCAGATTTTTATATCTATCGAGTATGTCCGGGAGGTTTTGTGAGTCAGTTAGCGGCGATTTAGTATATAATGAGTGGCGAAAATCTTTTACTTGTTGTGCATCCAGTTTGATTTTGTATTTGAATATCTTTTTAGGATTAATTTTGGACATAAATCGAATTAACATAGGAAAATGATCGCTGGTGAGAGTGTCCTTTCCGGTGGAGCAATCAAAGAGGGTGCGTGCAGAAGGAGTGGCGATAACCAAGTCTATAATAGATATTTGCTCGTTATTGGACATTTGAAGAGTGGGTTTATAATCATTGCAGATGATAAAATTGTATTGATCCAGAGCTTGTGACAACAGTCTTCCAGGTCCGTGGAGGTGCAACCCCAGTCAATGTTGTGGGCATTGAAGTCACCCAAGATTATGGTCTTGTTACAGGACGTTGCAAAGATGAAGAGTTGTTGGAAAAATGATAGGGGGGTATTGGTACCCGGATGCCTGTAGAGGTTGATGATAGTGAGGGTAGAATCCAAAATTTTTATGTTAATACCCATTAATTCCACTGAAGGATGGTAAAGGAGAGAGAGATCTAGAGTTTCATAGAATATAGATTTCTTGATGGCAATAGCTATTCCGCTTTGTCCCGGTGTGTCGATATCCTTTCTAATAAAGTTATGCGTGTTAAAGAATAGGTAGGCATCCTTGGCCAACTTAGTTTCTTGAAGACACCAAATTTCATAGTTGTTATCTGGAGACTGAAACTCAGGAAGTTTATTCTTTATACCTCTGCAGTTCCAAGAAGTTATGACAGAATCGGTGATATTGCGTTGAGAGATTCTAGTCGAATTCATATTGAGTGTTAAGTGATGTATTAGTGATAGAAATGATTGAACCCTGAAGGTGTGTTATGTAAGCGGTCGATTTGAAGATTGAAGGGTTCTGCGTAAGCCGATTGTAAGAATTCTTGAGCAGGAAAAGGAAGTTCTGGAAGAGGCCCAATAAAGTCTTGCAAGTAATTAATCATGATTTTAGCGAGATTAAGGAATTGTCTGTGATTCACAGACATCGGCTCAATCATGTCTCCCTTGGGGAATGGCTCGATATTGCCGTTAATTCGATCCCTGTGAGGCCATTGTTGTTGTTAAGTGCTATTCCGTTACCTGAACATGATGGAAGTCTTCCATTCGGAGCGTTCAAAATTTGGAATCTAGGGCCATCATCCTGGCTGGTAGCCTTAGGCGCATTGCGTCTGACTGTTGAATATCCATGGTATGTTTGAGCTGGTTCTGACCAGGAGGGATCCTCGAAGCGCCTGATCCGCGAGAGGTTCTGTTGTCCGTAGGATTTTCGAAGACGACCTGGGAGTATTTTGGGCGGTGTTGGAAATGGTCTGCCTGAGCGGTTAAGGGATCAAATTTATTATAGCTATAATTAGAGGGTTCTCTTAGATCCGAGCTGTTGTCTCGATCTCCTCTGCGTAGCAAAGGAAAATTCCTGAAATTCCTCTCCATGGAGGGAGTATAATCAGGTGGAGAGAGAGGAGAGGTTGTACTGTTACCGCCATATAGTTTTCTTCTGGCTTCTGATAATGATATGTTGTCTGTGGCAGCCAGAGCATGGATTTCTTTTTGTTTTATAAAGAGGGGGCAGGAAGAAGAAGTAGAGGGGTGGTCACCCGCGCAGTTAATACACAGAGGGGGGAGATTATTGCGTTCGCAAGTATCTTTGTCTCCGTGTGGGTCCTTGCCACACAGTCCACACCGAGGGCGACTTTTACAGAACTTTCCAATATGTCCTATTCTGAAACACGAAAAACAAGTCTTAACCCGTGGGATGAAAGGTGATACGTTGTGCATGTCAAAATACAAAGATACGTACTTGGGTAGAATTTGCCCTACAAACTTAATATTAATAGTCGTAGAAGGAGCATATTCTACAATACCATTATTCGTCATGCGGCGGTTGAGTCGTTTGAAGTCTATAATTTTGGCGGAGGATCGCAGATCTGATTTGAGCTCTGCATCTGAGACAGAGGTGGGTACTCCTCTGATGATTCCCTGACGGAAAACCTTATGCGAGGGGATGAATGCCGTATAACCTAGTTTAGCTAGTTCTGGGTGCCCAACTAGAGAGTTAGCAGCCGTAGCTGTACGCATCTCTATTGCAATTTTACCTTTTCCGATCTTTTTCATGCTGTTGATATCCTTTGCAATAATTTTAGAGACATGTTTTTTCATAACCACCTCGTAAGCCGGTTCCGTGATGTTGTCCTCTTTGACTTGCATGTGCACGATGAAGGGGGGAAAGTCTGACGATCCGTACCTGTTACCGGAAGGGTCTAAGGTGGACGCGCTTCTGGGAGACGAGCCGTCTTGGACATCGACGTTAGATGTGGTATTTGCCCGTTCAGATCTCAAACTTTTCAGTGTGGGGGCCGTTAGCTCGAATCTAGATGGATTGACGCGTTTCTTAGCTTGCCGTTCGACGTCAACTTCCATGGGCGTTTGCGAGTCCGTTGTACTCGGTGAAGAGTCGTTCGAAGGGCCTTTCACCGAGATATTATTAGCGAATGATTCGAAACTTTCAATGGAAATAGGGCCAATGGCGGAATCACCCGGAAAGGAGACGAGGGGAGAGGCTCCCGGGACCTGAGAGCCCCCCCACCCCCCCCCCCGGACGAATCACTCATCTGAGGTTATGTCTTAAGAAGCGCGCGATTACGGCACACGCGAATAATTAGACGATTAAGGTGTTGATTGGTGAGCGAAATTATGTCGATGAAAGTACTTGAGCGCTCTAAAAAGAGCGGATTAAAAGATTATGCAGCGAATAAAAACACCCTCGAAGCAGAGAACGTCCGTTCCCTGCGAGAACCCGCGCGCCACTGGAAACTTACGGAAGCGTCACCTTCCGATTTTGAGCTTTGAATATATAGTGTGAGGTAGGCCAACTCTCTTGCTAGAAGTTCTCCTTCCTACTGTGTTACGCCCCCACATGATTAAACGAGGTACTACAAGCGGACAGCCGGGGCGGCATCATATTTAGTTAGTTACCTAGTCATTTTTTTTCTCGTCGCCGAGTTGCGCGCCACCACGCGGTTAAGACTGCGTTCGGAAGTATTACTCGAATGTCTCCGTGTTTTTACCCTTGTTGTTCACCGAATATTAAACAAGGATAAAATGATACATTGGAATATTCGGGTGATGTTTCACAAACACAGCGTCGCAGTCTAAATGGAGTTTTACAAGTGTCACAAGTGGGCATGTCGAGTTCAATAAGTGCGGCCCTCCAAATTTTGCGCTCGGCACAAAACTTTAATCATTTACTTTCGTTTTGCATCGATCGTGAAACAAAATGTGCTTTTGGTTTTGTTCCTATATTCAAAATATGAATATAGCTCTGTACGAATTTTGGGTAATTATTCAGAATACCTCCCTCACCTCCGATTTCGATAAAATTAGGCTCATTCGACGCGTTTTTGCATGAAACGAAAGAATCTGGCAGAAAAAA